TCAAGCAGATTTGGCAGTTCCAAGCAGGCATATAAAATCTAACGAATAAATAGCAAGCTGAATAGTTGTGCTTTAAAGCCGAATTTGCCTAAATCACCACTAAAGTGTCTTCTGCGTAAAAAAGATGCCAAAGTGCAACTCCACCAAAAGGGCAATTCACAGACTTGACTTTCAGTTCAATGGTTGTTTGGAGGAAATTGTTCAATCCATCTCTCCGGAAACTAAAGGAGAATTGCCTTGAAATGCAGATGGTCGGATTGTGCAAAGAAGTCTCCATCTCACCGTCCCGCAAACCGGATGAACCTGTGCGGTAGGACAATGAGCCGAAGACCGGTTAGCACATTCCAATTAGCTACACTTGAGTGCGATCAAGTCGCAGATTCCCTTCCAATCAACATGACTATAGGCGCACGTGTGTAGTGAGGGCGAAATAAATGAGGATAATAATTTATTAATTTATTAATCTGATTTAAAACAACGGCTCGGTGAAACCCACAAACAATTCGAAGAGGATGCTTTCTCAGATCCCTTCAAAGTCAACCGGGCACCGAACAGACGAGCATCGACAAAAGGCCTCCACGAGTCCATCACGGAAGAGGTCTTTTTGTGCAGTCACTCCACATCGCAGCAGCAAGCCTCCATTCCACACCGACTGGTGCAATAGCACCAGCATCGCTTCTCGAGCCGCTCGTCAAACAGGGATTCCTACCATCACTGGGCCTCATTATCACTACTTGGCGGCAAAAGTACAGCCAATCCCACAGAAACAGTCAACACAATAAGACGCTTTAGCTACACCCATCTCAGCAGAACTGAAATTCCACTGAAGCAAAGCGTTGTCGTGAGATTTGCATACTGTGTAACCAAGTAAAAGTGTGAAATCAATGGTTACCGGGGCGGATATATCGAGTTGTGCTGGTTTATATGCGCATAAGAAATGGAAAGGGCGCCTAAGGCTACCTAATTGTAGCGACTGAAAGCGTGACGATATAAAGCCTAAATGTTGCCTGCTGTAAGAGGACAAAGTTGAGGGTAAAGACAACGAGTGGTGCAACTAAAAACAACATCAGCTCTTCCCTTCTCAAATAAATGATGCAAATTTTATGCTAATCCCTGACGCAGCTTACGCCGACCAGAATTGCGTGCTCTCTCCAGATTGTACTCTTAAATGCTTTTCCG